TGATTGTAAATTTTAATCGCGATTAAAATTTACAATCAGAGTTAACTTGATTAATTTCACAGCCCTATTTTGAATATACTTTTTATTTTCAGAAAGTTCAGTTGTTTTCTATTTAGGGACTTAGCACATCTGACTGCATATATCTCGAGACACCCTTTAAGGAATATAGTTTATAGACATATAAAAAACAATTAATTTGATCAAAAAGTTTTTCTGTTTTTTTTTCTTCTTCCTTTGCCAGTAAAGGTAAAACTGCTTATTCCAAACATTTAACATGTTGAGCAGACAGGAGCTCAGTGACGCTAAAATGAAGTGGACCGTGAAAYGGTTTATTAAAATTATTTGCATGAAAATATACTGACTCTGTTTTTAATCTTATAGAGGGTTCCCTTCACTCAAGTGACAGCGTGTCAGACTCCAGCCCACCTCCAGCTGTTGTACAGACAGGAGTTCCTACACAAGTTGTTCAGCAAGTGCAGGCAGCCCAACAGGTAAAATATGCACACACCGTATACACGCACACACTCAAATACAGCTTTAACATGTTGGTTCTTTGGTCTGAGAGAATGTTCTTCTCAACAGAGGTCTGTGGTGCAGGCCACCTCTCAGATAACTAAAACTGAGCCAGGCACGCAGCTGAGCGTCACTAACCTACAGCCTGTTCATATCACACAGGAAGTAAGTGACGCACACACAGACACAGCAAGAAGCTGTCACAACTTTGTAAAGTACAAACCATCAAGGTCTACTGTGACTAGAGACCACAATGAAAGTGGAGAAGTTGAAGCCACTTTGAATAAGCACCTCCTGCTGGTTGTGTGCAGTACAACTTTTACGTCCCACCGTTTTATCAACGGGACRTTTTCCAATTTTAAAAATAAAAAAATGCACTTTAGGTAACGTCTTTTAGGTGTTGATTCATGTAATTATTACATAGCTGCTGTATGTTTAAAAAGTCATTTTTMATATTTTAGTTTTAAATGTTTTAAGGTTTAAAAATGTGTCATGTTACACATTGACAGTGTCGCAGCCTGTTTGACTATTGGAAGGGTGTGTGGGGGGGACCCACATAATGATAGTACCAGAGATCTATAAAGTACTTGAAAAAATAATTAAGTAAAAGTAAAAGTAAAATTACATGAGCAGTAAATGACTTTGGTAAAAAATAAATTTCACTGATGAGAAAACTACTCATGTAAAAGTCATAAAACTGTTCACAAAAAATGAAAAAGTAAAAATACTTTTACACACTCTCTAAGAAATGAACTGTTGAATTTACTGAACCAAACTGGCTCCAAAAAGCCAGATTGAGTAAATTGGGCAATATATTTAAACTCTTTGCTCAGTTTACTCAATTAGGCTTAATGGAGCCAGTTGACATGACTTTGACTTCATTTTTTAGAGTGCAAAAACATCTTCTTTCATGATGAGTTCAAACATATTACATTTTGTAACGAGTAACTAGGTGTTACATTTCAAAGTAAAGAAGTAGAGTATAATTTTATCTTTAAATGTAATGAAATAAAAGTAAAAGTAGCTATTTAAAAATAATTGGTAAAATTATAAATCCTCAAAACTACTTAAGTATTGTAACAAAGTAAATGTACTAGTTACTTTAAACCTCTGGATAGTACAGCCCTTATGTTTCAAATGCTGGCCTCAAAGAAACAATATGGCAGCAACCAAAAATAAATATTTTGGCTTCAATTCAACACTTTGTCCATCTTTATTAATGTTGTTAAACAAGCRATTCTTGACAACTTTATGTTTAGAAAAATGTGATTTTGCTGTGATAATCTCTGACTTTGACTACTTCCTCCCATTCTAGCTTGATGTCAGTSAACTCACTGCATTTATGCCCTTTTAGCTTCCACTTTTTACAGAAGCCTCCATGTTAGCCAGTGAAATGAGACTAGAAGAAAGGCAGTTTCAGCACCTGACAGGATATCCTGATTATCTGGCTTTGGCATCAGGAGGCTACATGGACTACAGATGGCTCAGGCCAAAGACAGCTGTCATTTACCAAGTAGGTTAGGGAAACGAGGGAAAGAACTGCTTTAGAAATGAAGGAACAGAGAAATATCAGCTGTTTTCTACAAAAAGAACCATGCAAGAAGTTTTAAAGGGATCCCCGATTAGTTGTTTCATTAGACATTAATTGATAAACATATATTTTAACTGTAAAATAAAGACTGTAAAAAATACTGTAGGCTGTTTAGTTTTTATGATTTTTAAGCTAAAAGTTAAAAAATTTATTACACGGACGGGGCCATTTAATTTAGACGCAAAGCATTCTGGGTAAATGATGATGTGGATGGGTCATCTGTGTGATGCAGCTAGCGAGCTATATCCACCCTGAAGGTTAATCTTGGACAATATCTGATGATCGACTCTTTTAAATGAAACCAGAGAGCGTTGACAGA